TCATTGAAAGGACAAGTCAGAAAATGCGTCAGGTGACATCTGTGCCCAGGTCAGGTCTCATCTTTTGTAACAGCTCAGGAAAACAGCAAGTCTCATTCTCTATTCCTTTTCTATTTAGGCGGGGGTTTACCTAAAGAACACTCTCTGGGGTACTTGGAGAAGAATAACCCAAAAATACTGATCTGGACCAAACATCTTTTAACTAAGACACAGACACCAACTGTATGTACAGCAAAACAGCTTTTAAGAACTAGCAGTCACTTGACCAGCTGCCCATCTACGTGATAACCCAAGCAGACCCTCTCTCCCTCTCCCTCTCCTCTCTCTGTTTCTCTCTCTCACCTATTACTTCAGTGACCCAGGAGTGTCATGTAAGATTCAACAGTAATGATTCACTTTTTCATTCAAAAATTATTCACTGAAAATTTACATCCTACCAACTGCTGTTAGGTTTTATAGAAGATGTTGCTATGCAAAACAGTACTGCTATCAAGGGGCTTACATTCTGGTGGGACGATGTGAGAAAGACACGCATGTAATTATAAAACTAGGCAGTATAAAACCCTTTCCGCCTAGAATACAGCTTTCAAGCTTATACCACTGCCATTCCAAGTTGAAAGCAGATGTTTTTGGTATGTTTCAGGGCATCTATGAAGGGAAGGCATAGACCAGGCATAGACAGATCCATCCACAACATGAAGACACTGAGTCCACAAATTACCAAGAATGAAGAGAGGCTTAAAATTCCTGTAACTTTATCCATTTGAAGAACATGGCCTCCTACACAGCTGGAGCTACTCTGGAATTCAACGTGATTAGAAGCTAGAGGATAGCTCTTTTCTTCGTCTCTAAGTGCTAATTTAGGAAACTGTATCAGCACACTCAACTCCAGTCTATGACAACAGCTTGAGCAGAGAAAGCATCATGCTCCTAAGGACTTCCCTGAGGCACACTGTCTTCTGCAGGGCGGTGACAGAGACCCGACAGGCTCTTCCTCAGGTTTAACTGTGCCGGAAATAGGAGCTGAAGCAAAAAGAGGGCTCAGGGGCAGAGTCTAGACTTCCTTTGCGTGAACCTGAAACTTCATGGGACTTGACAGTTATCTAAATTGAAAAGGAGAACAAACAACCTTACGGTTTTGTTTTCTCCTATGCATACCCTTTGGACAGTGTCCACTGATGGAGCTTGGTACTCAGACCTTCGAGGTCAGGCAATGCCAAATCATGCGTGTCCCTGAGAGCTGGAGAGATCTTACTGCTAAGTGGCAATGGCCAACTTATTTCTTACCTTGGGCTATTTCTCATTTTCTATATTTCATCTTATAAAATCTTTTATTCTTACTTAGACAATTAGACTGAAATTAAAGAGTGACTATATTTAGGACAGTCATGTTGGCTTTCTCTGAGTCTTTAAGCATTCATACCAATCTATACTACATTATAAATATTAGGTCTTTCAAAACCCTTAATGTTGCAAGTTTATTTCTAAGTACTAATCACCAGGATCCAGTCTCTGAAGCCAGCTTTGGGATGGCTTGAGCTTTTTTTTCTTCCTGGCCATGCTATGAGGGGGTGGGGGCAGAGGGCAGAGAAGATCCAAGTTGCTCACAGGAAGTACTGTGGACACTGGAAAAACAGAGGAAGTGGTTTATTTATCTTGCCCCGTTCTGTAACGGTGTGGTATGGCAAAACAAACACTGAATTTGAGTACGAAGTTACTTATTATCCATGTGGATTCAAGCAAGTCAACTAATATCCTTAAACTTCAGCTTCCTAAGCTTCATCAGCAAAATGATGCTGTTACCAATTCCAGAGTACAGTTATATCGCTCAAATTAGATCAAGTATAAGAAAATAATGTGCAAACTCTAAAACCCTCAGTAAATAGTTTAAGCTAGAAAATGATATGATCAGATTTTTGTGGGTGGTCTGTTTTGTGTATTTTTATATCTGTGTCCTGGAAAGATTACTCATCCAGTGACTTGGAGAATATTCTAGAAGGGACAATTCTGGAGCCAAGAATCCATACAGCTTATTATTGTTTAGGCACGAGGATGCTAATATGGTTTACAGAGGCAGCTACGGAACTGGAGAGCTGAATCCACAGTATTTGGTACCCAATCCCTATAGTGATGGTGCAAGAGGAGGACCGGAAGCTTATTTCTGCCTGGGTCAGATGGGGAAGCCGTTTACTGTTCAGGAGATGCTCATTAACAAAGTAGAGACTAAACTGCGGTATGTGCAGACAACAGAATGCTGTTCAGAGTAACAAGGAGTGAACTAGAAAGACACAGATAAGCCTCACACAACTATTACTAAGTGAAAGAAGACAAACCTGAAACAATTGCATACTGTAAGTTTCCAATGATACAGTATTTTGGAAAAGGCAAAACTTATAGGGGCAATAAAGGGAGAAGTGATGTGGGGAGGGTGATGGGGTGCAGCCCAGAGAATGTCTGGGGCAGTTCAACTGCCCTCTGAATGATACTGCGATGACAGACACACGACACTTCATCCGTCAAAATTCACAGAACGCACAACACGAGGGACCCCTTGGAAACGGTGACTTCTGGATGATAATGCGGTCCGCTTGGGCTTGTCAGCTGGGACAAACGTGTCCCTCTGTGGAGGATGGTGACACCAGGGCAGCTGTGGGGGGTGCAGGCAGAGGGAGTGTGGAAACTCCGCACGGCCTGCTCAGTTTCGCTGGGAATCTGATCTACTCTAAAGTACGACATCTATTTACAAGGTAGTAATGATGAAGTACCAGATATTCCGGGCAGCTGTTAACATAAAGCTAAGGACAGGCAGTCAGTTAATGACAAGATCACCGTAACGCTGACCACAGCAACCTGCCGGACCTCTTTTCCGCCTCTTTCTCTGGTGCAATCAGACAGGGCTGACTGAGACTACTCCCTCGGCCGGCCCTTCCCTGCTCCTCAGCCGCACCTCTGCACCGCAGGCCTTGCTCCAGCCACTGCAGCACAGCGCCCCTGAAGAAAGCAAAGACTTCAGGGTTCCAGGGAGCACACCAGCTCCCGGTCTTCTCCCCCGACTTAGCAGCGTTCGCTACAGCCCTCCCTCCCGCTTCCTTGGGGCATTTTCTTCAATTGTTCCTGAAGACAAAAGGCTTCGTGGCTCTCCTCACCAGCTATTCTGAGCTCACTCTTCACCTTCCTTCATCTTTAAACACTGGATATGTTCTGAGCCTTAATCCTCGAACCTCTTCCCTTAATAAAAAATAATCTCATAGTATAAAATGTACTTAATCTCTGCACTAATGATTCCCAAATATACTTGCTCATAACTCCCTCCTAAATTCAACTAGTACACAGTATCTCAAATTTAATGTCTAGGGGCCAGGGGTTTAGCTCAGTGGCACAAGCACCTGATTGGCAAGCACGAGGTTGTAAATTCAATCTCTGGTACAAAAGAAAAAAAAAAAATAGATGTCTAACTGGCCCCTCAAACTTGGCTGACCGGGTGTGGTGGTGCACACCTGTAATCTTAGTGCTTGGAAGGCTGAGGAGGATTATTACTAGTTGGAGGACACCCTGGGCTACACAGTGAGTTCGAAACCATTCTGAAATACATAGTGAGACCTTATTTTAAAAAACAAAAACAAAATAAAACTTTATATGTCTAAAACACCTCCACAAAATATAAGTATTCTTCCCTAGTTATCCCATTTGAGTTAGCAATAAATCTATCTTGTGTGCTCAGGCCAAAAGCTCTGGAGTTACTTTTTTGTTTGTTTGTTAAAGGCAGGGCCTCGCTGTGTAGTGCAGGCTGGCCTTGAAGTCACTATGTAGCCTTGGCTGTGAGAACTCATAGCAATCCTCCTGCCTCTGCCTCTCAAGTGCTGACAGCATCTCTGGCAAAGCCTTTACATTTCACACACAGTAAAAACTAAAGTCTTTACACTGACTATGTAGGTCCCCCACACAAGCCCCCTTACTGTTCTAACCTCATCTCTAACCTCTGCCACCCTCTCCTCTGGAGCACACGGGCCTCCTTCCTGTCCCTCAAACACTGAAGCAGGCTCCCTCCCTGGGGTTCCTGCCCACGTGGGGCCCTTTGCACCCTGTGCTGACCAAGGCTTCGTGTGTTCAGTCTTTCCAGGGACCTCCTGCTTATCCTAAACCCTTCTCTATCTTATTTTTCTCACAGAATTTATCATTATCTGATATATCAAGTCTTCAATTCTAAGAGACTTAAATCTAGTCCATGTTTCACCGACTTATTCTGAAATGCAATTCCAGTGTGCTTATATTTTGCTGCCAAAAGTGAACATATGTTGTTCCTTAAAATAAAAGGTGATTAAGTAAAACTACACTATTTTCTGTATTGTTTCTAAAATGCTCTCTTATATGCATATAAATGGTGACAAAAACTCCAGTTTCTCAGTATCTGGTATCTTTCCAGTGTTGAACTTTTCTAAGAGCTATTTACCTTACTGCCCACTCGTTTAAAAATATTTTTTATTTGAATCTTCAGGGTAACTGTCACAGAAGTAGGAAATGAAATAGCAGCAAGACTCAGATGCAAAGCCAGCTTTCTCCTTGGTATGTAAAACCACTCTAGGATAGGGCCCAGCAAATGGAACTTGCATATTATAATGAAAAAGAGGTGCAGACACACAGGTAAAGCCGCAGTATTTACTTCACTGCTACTATGTGATAGGCTGAATGACTACATACATCACTTAATTGAATCATTATAGTAGTAACAGCCTTCACAAAACTCTCAGCCAATCTACAGATGAGGAAACTAAAGAGCACACAGATTTTGTAATGTTCAAAGCCCAGATTTAAAAACAGGTAGGGCTATCCGATGCCAAAGCCAGTATACTCTGTTCTGAATGGATCCTTCCTTGTGGAGACACCAGGACAGCAAACTGGACCTTAGAAGCTTGTAAAATGGATCGTTGAATTCCTGGGGTAACTTAGCACCCTGACTTTCCATGAACCTGATCACAGCTGCGTGCTGGTGACCCCCTTACCTGTGGACATAAAAAATGGGATGCGAAACTTTCCACTCAGCACCCGGGCCCGCAGGTTCTGCAGTGTGCTCCCGTCAAACGGCAGCGCGCCGCACACCAGCACATAGAGGACAACTCCAAGACTCTGCAGCCCAAACAAAGAGTGTGAACAATTAATCACATCAGAGGAAACAAAACGGGCTATTACAGTGTGTGTGTGTGAAGATAATGTAAGCACACATTACAATATGCAAAATTTTTCTTCTTTTTTACAAGATTAATTGGAGTATTAACAAGCCAATCACCTTTGGAATAATTAACACTTTCCTCCAGACATGAATTTGAGGCAATAACTCTAATTCTCAGTATTTATCTTTAGGGCAAGGGAAGAATCTCTGTTCTTAGTGAGTGCACAAATCCATGCTGGCCTTGAGTAATTCCTGCAGATGCAAAGGACTGGCATGAAACTCAAGGCTCAGCCATAAGGTGAGCCTAGAGGGGCAGCTGCACAAAGGACTGGAACAGAAGAACAGGTGACCACACTCTCCGCCCACGGTGCAGCGCAGGCCTCTAGAGGAAGGAGAGCACCATCTGGTGGTGGGAGGCTGAGGTGTAAGTGAAGACGGTCACTTACCCAGATGTCCACTTTGGGCCCGTCATACTCCTTTCCTTCGAAGAGCTCTGGTGCAGCATAGGGAGGACTGCCACACCAGGTCTTCAGCAGCTGCCCAGGGGTGAAGAGGTTACTGAAGCCAAAATCTAGAAGGGCAAATGGACACAACTAATGTTATCAAACCCAGCAAGTACTAGGGTCTGGTCACTACAGTAAAGGTCCCAAACCATTAGGTCTGAATGTCATGTGCAAAAAGAGAATGCTTAGCAAGTATTTAGCCAGTCACTTGAATTTAAGTAAACAGTGAAACAGACACACAGATGAGCTGGAAGGCAAACGCTACTTGGATAGCTAAAGTAAACATGGCTGATTTACGTCAGCAAGACCAATACTGTCCTCTTCATAAGCCTAGGCAAAGTGAGATGAGTGTTTTTGTTCCTTTAAGCCCCAAATTGAAATTGGATGGCTCATGCGAAGAACACATCCGCGTCAGTATAGACAAAGTGAGATTATCTTTAAGATGGCATATTCAAAACAAAGAAATACAACCTTAGTCATAAACTGAACCATGAACATTTACATTTTCACTTCAACCCTTTCCCCTCATTATTCTAAGAGGGAGTGGATGAGAGGAGAGTGAATCACGGGAATACTAGGGAAATGAGCAAGGATGGAAATTCCTGACAAATAAATACTGTAATTTTATTTCTGAGTAATTCACGTGACAGGCTGGACTCCCTGCGTCCACAGGAATCCCTTCTTTCCCTGGGCATACCACTTCCTGCAACCAGCATCCCCCAAAGCTGAGCACCTACCACTCCCTAAAACTTTTATTTCCTTTCTAGTTTGACAAGTCTCCTGTTGACAAGTACCTGCTTTTGCTGATCCTCTTCCTACAAGACCTGTTTCATCTTTTTGTGTGCATTCTAACTGTGTTATGTAGGCTACTCTTAAACTCTGCATCTAAAGTGACCCTGTCTCAGCCTCCCAAGTCCTGGGACTGCAGGTACCAGGCATGCATCACCACAGCCAGCAACACAGAAGATATTTTGACGAAAACATCTGCTGGTCTTTGCTCCGTATTTCCTCAGGGTTAACTCTTCTGGTTCCAACAGCTTTCAATATCCTGTTAAATTCCTAGAATTAACTTCTAAAATGGTATCTACTGGTGGGCAGGGGTGGGGGGACAGGCTAGAAACCCACCATCTTCTAAAATCAGATCTGTTCTTCCCTCTTCATGAATGGCACTGTATCTCTTTACTAAGACACTGGTACCATTTTTAATTCCCTTTGCCTTCTCATTTCCTATTTCAAGTTGGTAACAGCACTCTTACAGCTTCTGGGATAGAATAGGGTGTGGGAAAGCTGGCTGAAGAAGATTACAAGGTCCCAGACATGTGCAGAACAGTTCCCAAAGCCCTGCATGAGAATTCAAGCCAGGTCTTCAATAGGATCGCCGAGATGTGACCTCAGCCCGAGACATAGAATCTCAGCACCCATATGTACAAGTTCTTGTGAGTTTCTTCGAGATTTAGACATTGTAGGAGGACACACTGCCCCCATGCGGGCCTTGCTATCACAGCTTTCCATGATGGCCCACCTGTGTTTCCCGGATGACGCGTGTACTTTCATCTTTGCTCTTGCCCTTTTTTCTATTTACGTGGCCCAAGCTCTCTCTTCAGAGCCAGTTTTTCTCCTACTCTTCATTTTTGCTTTCTTGAATAAACCTTGTCACTGCTTTTTGCCCTTTCCATTCAATTCTTTGCTTAAGGCAAGAACCTGGGATCCAGTTTCAAAGGAGAGGTGAGCTATCGGGAACCCAGTAACATTTAGCTGCAAGCTGCCTCGTGAGAAACAAGCTACCCAGGAACACTTGCGCCCCGGGTCGTGAATTCATCTTCTCATCTCCAGCTCTATTCCTACCACTGCAGTTCACACTCTTCTGATCTCTGACCTACACTAATGTTGTGTTTGCTGACTGTGTCATTTAATTCCCCTCTAAGCCATCCATTCACAGCACAGTAAATGTTACACAAATTATACCTTGTTACATCCTTCCTTGAAAATATCTAGAAGCTCCCTTCTGCGTGTAGAAGTCTTACTCTCTCCACGTTGAAGTACTTCATGATCTAGGCAGCCTTCCTTTCCAACTCATCCCCAGCCAGTCTAGTATCAATAGACTATTATATCCTGTGTTTATATGCCTTTCTTATGTTATTTCCTTTCTGCGCCAAGTCTTTTCCTTTATTTTCTGCCTCTAATCACTCATTTCCAAAGATCAGTCAAGTACTACTTCCTTTATGAAGCTTTCACTGATTTCCAGCAAAAAGTACCATTTCAATGGCTTCCTCTTCTGTGTTTCTAAATCTCTTTGTTTACACCTCTACATTCCAATTACCGTACCTTACTTGCATTATACCAAGAGCTAATGAATGGAACAGACACAGACAGTTTTATTTATTTTAGCTTCCTTACTGTGGTTTGAATATATAGCAGAAACTCAAGAAAGGGTCACAAAATTAACCTGCAATAAAATCACTGAGCCAGCCCTCTCACAGAATCTGGCTCCTGGCCCCTCTCATACTGACAGTGGCAGCCGACCTGCTGTTCCAACCTCTACCTCCCAAGGTTCTAAACTTAACTTACTGATCACAAGGGGCTGGAAGGGACAGACCACACTAGAATTACCACAGCTGTGAGAAAAGGAGCACTCCCATTCATCAACAAATGACACTTTTGTGAAGCCCTCCTGAATCCCTTATAAGAAGTATCTCCTGCTTTCTCTGGATTCCTCTGTTACTCTATTTCCCCTTTATATTTTTGTGTGTTTGTGTGTGTGTCCCACATTCAAGCAAAAAAAAAAAAATTATTATTCTCTACTATGGTATTTTCCCCCATTAAATGTATGTTCCCTCAATTAATGAGCCTAGGGTATACTAATTTTTTAATTTACCAAACCTAACAGATCTGGCTCACCTTCTCCTTTCAACATATTACAAATTAACAGTGGCCTTCTGTGTACTTCTATCTTATCTTCCCAAATAGTAGCTCTTTATAAGATAAAGTAGTGCATTAATCTTCTCTATTGCTGTCTGTCTTGGTGGTTGTTTTGTTTTGTTTCGTTTGGAGACTGTCTTGCTGGACAGTTCAGGTTGACCTTGGACTCCTGGCAATCCTCCTCCCTCAGCACCTCAGGTGCTAGGATTTCAGGCATGCACCTCCATGCCTACCTTGCATCTAGCTTGTAAGCTAAAATTCTGGCTAGTTCCTCATTCACTCAGCTATAATAACATCTTCCAAAAATTTAAGTTATCCATGCAGAAGTCTCGAATCATTAACATATACTAACATTACATTCACTTTGAAAGTTCTGTTCTTCCCAATCAATATTTCAAGGACTGAACAACGGGGATGGGGAGACTATCTCTGCTTTATTCTCTCATCTGCCTATCTTTGGGGCATTTTGTTACACATTTTAAAAGAACTGGAAGAAAAAAATAAAAGCAATTAAAACTCAGACTAACCTATTTTGGGTTTTGCTGGTAGTTAAGAGAAGCAGTGGGGGAATGCTGGGATGTGTGTAGGAAGCAGAGAGAGCCTGGGGTGGGTGGGCAACAGGCAGATACGGAAGAATTACTAAGAGTTTCGCTATTATTAGTTATCTATGGGCACAGACAGTTAAAAAAAAATGTAAAGATCACCCAAGTTAGAAATGGAAAGATTAAACTGATGGAGCAAAGAGAATGAGGAAGAATCTCCCTGGGCTGCATCAGAAGTACCAAAGAAGCAGCTACAGAAAGACTCAAAATCCCAGTTTGGTCTGTTACCTTACACCTAGAAAATCCTACTTCCACTCAAGGGCTGCACAACTTATTTCGGCTTTGGAGCTACTCTTATTTGTAGTATCTTTCATTATTTATTTAATAAAATTTCATATTTTCAATGTCTCTTTTGCAAGTATCTAAATAAGTGGGGGGGGGTCTTTTTGAGACAGTTCACACTGGTCTTGAGCTCTAAATAAGTGGGGGGGGGGGTCCTTTTTGAGACAGTTCACATTGGCCTTGAGCTCATTTTGTAGCCCAGGCTGGTCTCGAACTTGCAAGATCTCCTTGCCTCAGCTGCAAGTGCTGGCTGGAATTACAGGTGTGCCCTACCACACCCAGCTAAAAAGTTCGTCTTTTCCTTCATTCATTTAACATGCATGTATAGAACTCTTGCAGGGGTGCAGCAACGTACATATAAACAGACCAAAGGTATAAAAGACGTGAACTTAGAGAACAACTCCAGGCAGAACTTAGTTGAGTACCCAAGATTTGGAGCAGCAGGTGGAAGGGGATTTCTAATGGTGGGGGGCTAGGGAAAGCATAAACAAGGGCCTCACACAGAGCCAGACTGCTAAACTCAAGGGACAATACACAGACTGCCCTGGGTGTGATACCAGGCATCTAGGTTCCATGGCAGGAAGGTGCACAGTAGCCCTGGGCGGGAGTGGGGGGACGGTGCACACCTGTAATCCTAGCACTTGGAGGCCTAAAGCAGGAGGATCACTGCAAATTTGAGGTCAGCCTGCCGGGCTTACCAAGTGAGTTTAAGGCCAGTCTGAACTGCTTAGTGAAATCTTGTCAAAAAAAAAAAAAAAGTGCACAGTAGCATCAGGTCAGATGAGATGTAGATTTTTAGAATGAGGAACTTCAACTTCATTCTGCAGGCCTCTGTTTTTCTTTTCTTCCCCAAAATACAAATTAACAAGAAGCATTGGGTCTGGACACAATTTCAGCACTGTTCCACTCACAGACTGCTTTTATTTATGTTTTCCTCCACAGTCTTATTGAGATAAACAAACTATAATATATTTACACATTCCATTAAATTTACTCATTGAAATTATACTGTTAGTAGTTTTAATATATTCAGAGCTGTGCAAGTTGTAAGAATTCTGAACGTTTTTCTCACCTCAGAAGGAAATCCTGTGTCAATCAGCAGGCACTCCCTGTTTGTACCTACTCTGGTACCAGGCATTGGCATTCTCTCCTCTGCTTTCCATCTCTATGAACTTGTCTATTTTAGACATTTCACATGAGTGAATTCATGCAATATATGATTTTGGTTTTTTTGACATGGGTTTCACTATGTGGCTCAGGCTGGC